TCACCGAGCGTTACTCTTAGTTAAATACAATAATTTATATACTTTTTTTTTATTACACTCAAAGTATAGTCACCAGAATTGCGTATAATTTGTACTATAATTATAAAAAGTATAAATCATATGAAGTAAAAATACCGCATCAAAGCATCAACGGAGCCTGGTATAGCTAAGTTTTCTACGTGAAGAGTGCCGTGTAAATCAATTAACACTGCTCGAAGATCACCCTTTTCTAATACCATGCTTAAATTTAAATTTAATTACGGAAAAAGTATCATATAATTAGCGTATAACTACAATATACTCTGCCAATGTCACATTTCTTATATTTTTTTTTCGTACGCTGTCTGCTTAAGCGAGGCATTTTTGAATCTTACGAAATAAAAAATACGTTTTTTTTTTTTTACTAATAAAGCCAAAAACTGCTCAAACAAAACTAACACCTAAAAGTTATCACATTTGTTGTAATAGGGACATAGCTATGTTATACGTACATTATGCTGGAATGTTATTACCTATTTTTCTTATTATAAAAATATATTATAACGCTCAGTATAATCGCGAAATACTTTAATTATTAGATTCAATTTTATTTTTATCTATAAGACTTGACAAGAGCCGATGAAACTCGAAACATTAGTCTTCAGATAGGATTTATTACCCAATGTGAGCAAATATTTTCCATAGCACCACATATACCACTGCAAAATGAAAATACAAACAAGACGAAGAACGACTGATGTTAATCTTTCTTCCATGAATTGTTTATTACTTTTGCACTTTTATTTTGAGTATGATATGTTTGTAATGGGTTTGCATGAATGAGGGATTTTGGTATAACGGTTGATCAGTCTCTAAAGCCATCCAAGCAGTGTGCTATTGCTACTAGTGTAGGGGAAATAGGATTTTAGGTTGTATCTACAGAAATATTGAATGAAAATCTAAAGGGGTTATAATTTCATTGTACAGGTCACTGATTTGGCCACATTTGGAGTATTAATGTGTTCATTCTTGGGCTCCTTACCTTAGGGAGGACATTGAATTGTTGGAAAAGGTTCAGAGGATGGTTACTAGAATGGTGCCTGGGATGTAGGGATTGTCATATAAGGGGAAATTAACATTTCTGAAATTGTTTTCTCTTGAAAAAAGAAGAGTTCGAGGGGATTGATATGTTTAAGATTGTAAAAGTACTTGATAGTGTTGACGCATCATCATTTTCCCACTTAACCGCGAGAATAGTAGGACTAGGGGACATGGAAAGGTAGAAGTCATCTTCAGATGAGACAGTTTTATTTTTCTAACAGGATGGGTTGCCTCTGAAATGGACTGGCTTCGGATGTTATGGAGGAGGTAAATTTAAGCGAGTTTAAGAGAAAGCTTGATAACTATATGAATGATAATGGCTGTCTCTAAGATTTTTTAAATTTATCTATTTAGGAGTTTTAGTTTAGTTTAGAGGATGGGACAGCCGAGATGGACCAATAGGTTCCTTGTTGTTCTTAAACATTATGTTATGTTATATTAATTTTGAATATCTCTGACCCTGTCTTAGTTGCTGCTATAGTTTTCTTTTTCGATAATCATTCAAACTGAATTGATGAGAACTGACAAGCTTGAAACTACCGTTTTCTATTGGTCATTAGTGACGAATTTATTTGTTTATTTTGTTTGTTGTTCAGCGCAAAGCTATACAATTGTCTATCTGTGCTGTGCCCACCATAGGTATTGAAACTGGTCTTTAGCGTTATAAGCCACTGGAATAGGGGGGGGGGGGGTATGAATTTGTTATCCAGTGTGAATAATAGTTTTACACTAGAACTATGAAAAACCATACCTTTAATTTGAAGTTATATAACCACGGGTAGTGCACGTTTTAAGTATCTTGGTATTAAATTAATTTCCAAAAATGAGACTAAGTGAAATAACACAAGAATAACCGTTTATAAACCTCATTATAACAAATTCCAACACGTATATTTGAAGCAGGGTTTTTTGGTCGGCATATTAAAGTGTAGAATTTTATTTAGAGAAATTTAAAAAGAAGTATCTACAAAGTTTTAGCAACAGTATATTCAACACACACTTATAAAACTACTCTTAATTGGGTGCCTAACTTCGGAAAGAGGAATTTGTTATAGCAAAATCTTAAACAAAATTATTCATATGAAATTATAAGGATTTAGTTTGTCATATAATGACAAGCTCAAAAATATACATAGACGAATGTTTTTATAACTATATGCATATCTTTGGATCAATAGCAATGGTCTATGTTTCTTTTATAATAAAATCGTAGACATGTGTATATGATTGAAACTAAAAAGCGCAGCCTGTCGGTTTCAAATTGTAAGAAGAGATTACTTTAAGTAAAGCAATATTAGAGTAAATAACAGAAAATCACAGTAAGCGTTTTATAAAATAAGAATATTAATTTTAATCATGAGTTATCAACTGTACAGAAATACAACTTTAGGCCATACTTTACAAGAAAGTTTGGATGAACTAATTCAGGTAGCATTTCTTTGTTTTCGAATCTTTTGTGTATCGACCGAGTATTACATTTCTAGACTGAATGATGACTTATGACAATTTAGTCGACAATACTGACAACATACCATTTAGAGACTAAGTTACTCCAGTAATTAACAAAATATCCTAAACTTTTAAATTAAAATTGAAATAATGGTTTGCTCTGCTTCGAGACCAGAATGTTAAATTAACATTTGTAATATACTATAAGTTAAAAACATTATTTATGTTTAATTATAGTATAAGTATAATTAATTGGTATAACTATAAATTCATCAGTATTATAGCATTTTAATTCTTACAATTTACATGTTTTAAATAATCATGTTAAAAACAACATGCTAATCAAATATTCAAATGGAAGAGCACTAAAATATAAAAAGTTTTGTACTAAACAGTGTCCACTACTTACTCCATTATGAATAAGTTACACAGTCAAATTTAAAAGAATTTTAAACAACATAACTTGTTTATTAAAACGTAAGATGATAACATTAGTTTTTAAGTAAAACTGGTTCAGAGGTATGAAAACTTCATCCAGAGACGTTATAGGTAATAGCAATTACACAAATTTAGATACAAGAAGGGAAAGGCACAATTTAGGCATTTGTTGTTGCACATTTTGATAACTGTTGCTAAACATGTCAAAACGAATATTTTGAAAAAAAGAAAAGGTTAAAATAAAAGAGATTCTGATAGTTGCCTCAAGACTCAAGTTTAAGCCCCAAACAGTGTCAGAAAACCAAAATAAGAGAATGAAGAAGCACATGAGAAACCCTGTTAATTTATTGAGTGAATACACTGCTTGAAACCAATTTGAAAGATGAATGGAAGAATTTTGATAATATTAGCAAGTATTCAAAAGCAGGATTTTTCTATGATGTTTTAATGTTGCTCTGTAGAAACTGCCATCTTGAAACATTACAGAGTGAAAATTCCAGAACAATCATTCTTTGACTTGAAGATAAATCCTGAATCAAAAAAGGCAGCCCATTAGGAGATACATGTATAATAAGTTAATCTCTTTGAATCCCATGGGCTTTTTTAGAAGTAAAATGATCTGGATTCCCTTTTAACATAGGTAAATAGAACTTCTACTCATAAATAGTTGCAATTACAGAAAAAGTGCATAGTCTCTTAATGATTATAATTGCTGCTTGGTACATGTAGTTGGAAAGTAATCAACTAACCTTAACTTTGCTGCTAAAGGGACTGAAGCAAAGAGAAATTAGCTGTTTTTTTCCCCTCCAGGTAGCAGGACTGTGTATAAAACTTGTGTTTTTTTTGAGTGTTACAACTAAATGAAGAAATCGTAGAAGGTCTTTACACTTGTCTGGCAGTTGGGGAGGAGGAAGTGTCAAATGGTGAATCAATGTGAAGATATTTTCTGTTACTGCCAGAAAAAAAATTAAGTACTTACTGCATTAAGGATTTTGCTAAGAGAAAATAAAATCCAAAGAAAACTGGCAAACAAAATGTTTCCACTTAGTTACGTTTCATGTTCTTCAAGCTTTTATGTTTTCTTGGTGATTGAAGTATATGTCAGTTTTTAATATACAAGTTAACGACTTAATATGAATATTGAAATATCAACTGGATGCATACACTTCTTTATTTCTTTATTGATAGTGTGGGCAAATCACTCCAAATTTAGCTTTGAAGGTGTTACTACAGTTTGATAAAGCCATCAACAATGCACTTGCTAATAGAGTCAAGACAAGACTGACTTTTAAGGTATTGTATTTTTCATGTATTGTATAAAATAATTATTTTAAATTTTAAGGGTGTAGACAGTTTGAATGAGTATTTTTCTGCAAGACTACCCTTAAAACAATCTCTCTGTACCACAGTTAAGTTTGTTTACCAGTTAATTGAGATTTTTACTTTATCATTGTGTTTAAACAAAAATAAGATAAGTAGCCCACGTAAAGTAACCACCTTGCTGTAATTTAATTGATTAAAATCAACGGTTTCTGACTTATGATTAGAACTAATTAAAAGGTAAAGTGGTCATTAAATACAGGGTGGGCCAAAAGTAGGGTTACAGTTACTCTATTATTTGTTTCTCCTTCACAATCACGTTCACCTGACCT